GGAAAACAGACATAGAGAAGTGGTACACCCATCTCTCCCACGGAATTTTCGACCTCAGGAAGGCACAACTTTCTGTCTTAAGGAAAAGACAAAGAAGTTACCTATTTCGACCTGCAGGTCGAAGATCTCAAGGGGAAAATGGAGGGTGTAATGCAGGCTATGAAAGGGAAAGGTCATGCAGCCGTAAATGACCTGGTACAAAGGACCCACTTGCCGTTCAGCCTTGCCGTTATGAAATGTCCACTGCCTAACAAGTTCAGGATGCCCTCATTCAAAAGCTTCGACGGGACCAAAGATCCCCTCGATCACCTGGAAATCTTTCAAGCTCTTATGCATTTATACGCCGTACTAGATGAAATTATGTGCCGAGCTTTTCCCACTACACTTAAGGGATCAGCAAGAGTTTGGTTCAACAAGCTGAAGCCAGGAACCATCAACACCTTCGAAGAACTGAGTAAGCAATTTGTGAGCCACTTCATTGCAGGTCAGAGGCATAGGAGGCCAGCCACTAACCTGCTTACCGTGAAGTAGCAGGAGGGCGAGTCGATTCGGGAATACATCACCCGATTCAACACAGAGATGTTGCAGGCAAAAGAGGTGGACGACAAGGTGGCCTTGACCGCTTTCATAAGAGGACTCCATACCTCCAGATTCTTGTTTGCCCCATCCAAAGAACCTCCCACCAGCATGGCAGAGTTGTTGATCAGAGCGCAGAAACATATGAACGTTGAAGACGCTATGAATGCACGGAAGGGAAAGGAAGGAGAGGACAAGAAGAGGTCAGCCCCTCTCACCAGGGATGAGAAGGATACCGGTTATAAAAGATCATTCTTCAGCCAAAGCGATAGGACATATAATGAGGAGGACTCAGATAAGTATACCGATTAACAATTATCTCACAGCTAGAATTAGCCTTATCAAGTCTGGGGGCATCTCAGTTCATCATTTCACATGTTATTTTATTTTATTTAAAGTCACCATCACGAATGAGGTGGATGACCCTCAATTTCTACACAATAAAATATTTTCAGTTCCCTACTACCTATGTGGTAATATTAAGCCCATAATAATCTATTTATCTCCTTAAAGGGCCAACTACACATTCTTCCCTTATTAAAGGGACAAGAAGCCGACTACTCCTTATATACAGAAGGGTGAGATAATTAAAGCTTCCTTCATTTACTAGAGGAACGAGACGACTACTTCCCTTATTACAATGGATAGTAAATAAAGTCCTGTATTAAAAGGATTCGGGCTGAATGAATCCCGTAATCCATATCCCCGTAATATAAGGGATAGTAAATGAGTGTCCTATATTACTAGGACCCGGGCTGAATGAATCCCGTAATCAATATCCCCGTACTATAATGGATAGTAAATAAAGTCCTGTATTAAAAGGATTCGGGCTGAAGGAATCCCGTAATCCATATCCCCGTACTATAAGGGATAGTAAATGAGTGTCCTGTATTACCAGGACCCGAGTAAAGAAAGTCCTGTATTAAAAAGATCCGGGCTGAATGAATCCCGTAATCCATATCCCCGTACTATAAGGGATAGTAAATGAGTGTCCTGTACCCGGGCTAAATGAATCCCGTAATCTATATACCCGTACTATAAGGGATAATAAATAAAAATCCCTTATTAAAGGGACGAGTAAAACTCGTAAAGTTTAATTCCCTTATTAAAGGAGTAACGACCTGAGTGAAGCTTGTACAATTTAAGAAAAGATTACTCAAGTGTATTCAAAATAGTACCCTGGGGCAGAGTACCCAAGGGTACCAAAAATAGTACCCAGTGGCAGAGTACCCAAGGGTACCAAAAATAGTACCCAGGGGTAGAATACCCAAGGGAAGGATACCCATGACATTGTTCCCGGGAATAGTGCCGAGGGCAAAAAAAAAAAATAAAATAAAATAAAATAAAAATTAAAAAAAATCTATACTGTTCATGTGAATAGTACCCGCGAGTATTGTTCCAGGGCAAAAAAAAAAAAATCATTTACTGTTCCAAAGAATAATAAATAAATAAATAAATTATTATTATTATTACATTCCCAAAGCTAGACGAGCAAGCTTGGGAATAGGGGGCAACTGATAGGGAAAAATAAATATAACCTACTTTGACCAACCGCCAGACCTGTTCGGTGATTAATGATAATATTTTATTATTAGAGGTAACGATTTCCATGGATAAAAATGATAACAAATCTTATCAAGGATAAAATCTCCATGGGATAAGTTCCATGGGATAAGGATGATGAAGTCAAATCTTATCAAGGATAAGATCTCCATGGGATAAGTTCCATGGGATAAGGATGATGAAGTTCCTTTATCAAGAATAAGGGAAGTAACGATAAATAAGGGATGATGAAAAAACTATTATTAAATCCCTGTCTTCTTTTTTAGACCTCTGGTGACTAACTTGATCGTCGGAGAGCTCTTGACAGGCACCACACCGGTGCTGTCAATGTTCATTGATTTTCTCCTCTTTCCCTTGCAGGTAAACAGTGTCGTATCGGACCGTGTGGATTTCACCCTCAACACTACCAAACAATAACATACATAGGTTTTTAACCTAAAAAAAAAATAACATACATAGGTCGGAGTAAAGAATGAGTAGAATAACAAAGCTCAGTTATGAGTAGATCAATTATTTCTTATGGGATGGGCATCTTGGGAAAACATCCCCAATTTAGATCAAGCCCAATGCTTTATTTTATCAGACAGCCCTCAGAAACATCACTGTATAATCCACACTTGCCTAGCACCCCTGATTCAACCTCCCTCTCTCTCTCTCTCTGTGTTTTTGTGTGTGTGCAATGGCCATGGCTAAGCTGCTTCTGTAATGCTGTTGGCACTCCTTGTCATTTCCATGGTTGCAACCACAGCGAGTTCCTTCTTGTACCAAAGATCACTCTAAAGTCTATAAACTGTGGTTTGGTTGTGTTTGTTGCTTAATTATACCAATTTGGTCACCATCATAAAAATGCAATATAAGTTTTTTTTTTTTTTTTTTTTTTCAATTGTAGGTTTTAGCAAAAGATGCCCAATACCACCTAGACAATATAAGTTTTTCTCTCCTCCTTTTCTTTTTGAATATTTCATGCTATCATAATACATTAATTTGATAAATAATTTATGTTTTCAGGCACAATATGGTCAAGGAGGCCTAAAGAGTTACCGTAAGTCAATTTAAAATAGTTTTAGCATCAATAGAGTGTTTACATTCTTCAATTTTTGCCAATAAATTTTTTTGTTGAAATGCTAATAATGAAATTTATTTTGTGGTCATATTCACTATAGTTTTTTAAAATTAGATTGTAACGTAATCGTAAGAACTTTTTACATTTTTTCGATCTATAATGTACGAGTATATGATATTTTATAATTTATTCTCGACAATTTCGTTGTGGGCCACTCTCATTCTGAACACAGACAATAACTTAGGTCTTCACTAGTGAGAATCCACAACATACTCACAACTGATGTGCTTATTGTGAAAGTGCCCTAAAGTTGGGCTCTATGTTGAAGTGATTGCTCAAGTCTTTATAAAAATAAAATAAAATTGAAAACCAAAATATTTTGTCTGTGAGTTCAATTATGAGTGTTATATATATATATAGTCCAGATCAAGAGATATTGGCATCTTTTCAATGAGATTGTGTACCAAAAAAATAAATAAATAAATAAACAAATAAAAAAAAATTACAAATCAAAGTGTTCTCTATCTATCCAAAGAAGAATTCGAGAGTTCTAGTCCCAACCAATGAAAAATAGGACAATGGGATTTTCCTACTGAATTTAAAAAATAAATAAATAAATAAATTTAATAAGAAGATGCTACTGAGAAATTAAACAAGGAACTAATTTATATTAATGATATGAATATTAAGTATGAAAAAAAATATTCTAAATTTTGACTTGGAACTCAACTTGTGTTGAACTGAATCTGTAGTCCACTGGTCCCACTTTAGCATTTTTAATTAATTTATTCATTTATTCGTTTATTTTTATGGTGTTGAATGACCAGAATGCCCATCAGAATGCATAAGGAAGCGTGGAAAGACACAATACCACAAGCCATGCATGTTCTTCTGTCAAAAATGCTGCACAAAGTGCTTGTGTGTTCCTCCTGGCTACTATGGGAACAAAGCTGTGTGCCCTTGCTACAACAACTGGAAGACTAAGAGAGGAGGCCCTAAATGCCCTTAAATCATCATTACTTCTCTTCCTACTACTATATATCTAACTCTAACTCCCAGCCGCAATGGTGATGTCAGACCTATAAAAGAATTTCATAATTTATCATCGAACACATACAGTCAATTCCCTTATCACACATATATCGAGTAATTATTAAAAAAATTCGCAAAAATGACCTAAGGAGATTCGAACTCATGATCTCCACCACTAATAGAGATTATATTATTATTTTTACCTTTATCCTTTTTCTTTTTCTTTTTTTCTTTTTATGTTTGTGGGTCATATTTTCTATGGCCAATGTTGTCCGCGAGAATGAATTGTGCTATTGCTTCTATAAAATAATAAATTTTCCAAAAAAGATGCAATTTAAAAATATGTGATTGGGATCCAGGCGAAGAGGCGCATAATTGTTTCTTGAAATTCTGAAAAAATTGTATGCACCTCTACGTCTCGATTGTTTCTTGAAATTCTGAAAAAAATGTATGCCCCTCTACGTCTCGATTTCAATACGATTGCATAGATACCAATATTTAGATTGAATTGACAAAACAATTATTAAATCTAACTGAGTTGAATGTTTAAATTATCTTCAAAAGGAACAACTAATATAGCACAGAGATTAATTGCCACAATAGTCACCACATTTATTACATGAAAATAACGTCTCCAGTACATGTGGATGCACGTGCACGGTCATTGTGTCTTATGCAACCTTTGAAGAAGAAGACACCAACTCTTACTCCGTCAAATAAATACACACACACACACACAGATGCGCATTACTATCAGGCTCCACACTTCTATATCAGTATCAGTAGCAAACCACACATGTTTGATGAGATCATCACATATGCTATTTGATATTTTATCAACTATTAAAGAATGTAAGTCTACAATATGTAAACCAATTTCCAAATGATGCTACTTAAAAATTGAGATTCTACAAAACCACAAGAAATTAAAAGAACTGACCACGTACAGAAATGAATAGCAAGTTTCAATATCAACAATCGTATCCGACAATCACGAAAGAACAACGTTGAATGCCTGAGCCCCACGTGCCACCTTGATGAAGACGTCCTCTAAAGTGGTGTCGGCCAGACCCCATGCATTAACTGTGAACCTGCTCTTTGCATTCTCAACTGCCTGGAAAACATCTGCAATTCTCACTTCCTGTTTCGGCAGCTCAAACTTCAGGGTTCCCGATATTTGGTATATCTTGTTGGCATTTGGAGAGAGATTTCGCACCAGGTTCACCACTTCCGCCTCATGATTTGATGACGTTGTCATCGTAAACACATAAGACCCTCCATATCTAGCCTTCAGCTGTCATTCAACGCAATAATACTATTTGTTATACATTTAACAAAGAAATGCATTGTAAGTCTGAGGTTTATTAACATCTCTGTTACAAAGATCTCAAGGAGGCAGTTCATAATATTGTATGTGAATTATCGGAAGAAACTACAAAAATGTGTCTAGTTAGCTCAAGTACTAAATGAATATACCCAGCAAAAAAACAAGTCCTAATAAAAACATGTGATGAAGGCAGTTCGTAGTGTACTAATTCAGAAACCTCCTAAGGTAGCTGAAGTACTAGAGGCCTGTGACGTACCAGCAACACAGCACCGTGGTTATGAATACAAATACGTCATCAAGAATACATTTGAATGGGAAAAAACCACACATGATACTGCTCAGTGCCTCCAGGGCAGGAGGCGTGGGGACTTGGGAGAATGCAGACACAATTTGTTGCATTCTCGAAGTTTCTGGTATGATAGAAAATCTTTTCAGAGATGATTAATAGGGTTTCATCTTATAAGGATTTTATGAAGGTTCTTTGTTTTTTTTTTTTTCTCCTTATCACACAGCAATGGCATGAAAATCTGGCACAATTTTAAGTAGCAAATAAGTTTTCCAGTGCCTCACATCAAGATTTTACAACTACCATATTTATGCAAAACAGAATTTCACTTGGAGAAGGGATATTAATTTCAGAAAAATGATTAATGTGTCTATTACTATAGCATCTCAATGTGAAAAAAAGTCTACATAATCTTCACTATATCATATTATTGAATAAAGGGGGTGAATTTAGAGTTATAATATTATACTCATGCTTACCTACCAAATAAATTAATAAATAAAAATTGAATAAATAAAAGTGGTGAGTATGATCTGGCACAAATAAACATTAATTGAAGTTACCTCTCTGGGATTTCCTATACACTGCAAGCTGCCATCCACAAAAATTCCTAATCGATCACAGAGATGCTCTGCCTCTTCCATTGAATGTGCTGCCATCATTACAATGAGCTGTATCAGTAAAATTACAAGGGAAAACAATGGTTGTGTGATATTCTTTTAAGTTCAACAACACACAAGTCAAAACTGGTACAAGATATGGGAATGAAACTGTATACAACTAGAAGACAGACTGACAGAGTCGAATGAAATTAAGGTGAGGAAAGTAAAAGGGCTAGCCCATTTTGCGAGGCTCTTGCATTTGCCTATTTCCCGTTTCGAAACCCATGAGCTCCATATCAGAATTAAGGTGATCAAAGTCCAGCAAATAAGAGAAAGGGGGGGGAGGAAGAGATAGAGAGATTACTGGTGAGAATTATAGCCCGGTCTTGCTTTGCACGCTTCACGACATTCCATAAATTATTTCTTGAAGCTGGATCCAGTCCAGTACTGGGTTCATCCATATAGACAACCTAGCAAAATTTTCAAAATACACATTATAAGTATGAGAAGAGATTTAAACATTAAAAAAAGGTCCAAGCTGTAAGTTAATATGAAGATTAACACATACTTTGGGATCCCCAATCAGTGAAATGGCAACACTGAGCCTCCTTTTCATCCCTCCGCTGTATTTCCCAGCTTGTTTGTCAGCAACCCCCCCGTAAAATAGGTTCACACTCTTTAGAGATTCTTCCACTGCCTGCCGTAGACAAAATGAAAACGAAAACTCAAATATTGTCATGCTTGAGATGACTAATGAACAAAACATCACTTGCATCAATCTCTCTCTCTCTCTCTCTCTCAGGAGGAGGAGGAAGTGCATATAAACACTCTGTAGATAGATATTGATGCAAAATTACACCCCTCAACTTGTCAGACAACAGCTACAGTCAGTAATTTGGAGTTGCTGATTGTTTCAATGGATGTTCTAAGCTAATCAACTCAACAATCAGTAATTTCAAGCTTAATGGGTGATCTCAGCTAAATCTCCTTCAAATTTAATAGAATCAAACAAGATTAAGCTCACATATAAACCTCATGAATTCATTTTCATCTTTCCTGAAAAATGTTGAAGCATACAGAGACACATGAAGGATGTATACAAACACAAGACACGGGTATGATACGATGCAAACACGGTGATTCGAAAAATCTCATAAAATTGACACGGCAGAGATACGACAATATAATAATAATATAATAAATTATCATATATAAAAACTGACTTTTTGCTCATTTTATCCACAATACTATGAATATAATCATCAATTGGGGCTTTGGGCTGGATGTCTATTATTTTCGGTTTTTGTAACTTAATTTTATTTCTGCAAAACTACGCCATATCTTCCCATGTTCCAGCCATGTGTAAACAACATAAAAGAACAAATAGCAAATATTCAAGCTCCTGAACACTTTGTAACCGCATCTGACACATGTCCGACACTGTCAAGGCACCCCATAGAGAAGTGTCTGTGCTTTCTTGGAGATGCGTAATATCTCTCCGATTACAAGTTCCTACCACAAGCACATGTTGCTCTCAAATTCAAATAGAACCTAATTGACAGTTGCAAAGTGAAAGCAATATTGACTTACTTGGGTCAAGGCAGCACCTTTAAGGTTTTTAAGCCTGCCATAAAAAAGTAAGTGTTCTCTTCCTGTTAAGGTTTCCCAGAGCAAGCTGTATAATTGTCCAATAAATCAAAATTTCAAATATGAGAAGTTATTCAGACTCCACAATTAGAGAAAACAAAGAACCAATAAACTGCTTTTTTTGACATTGAAGAATCTTCATGCTTACTCATGCTGTGGACATACACCCATGCTGGCATATATTTCGTCCATGTGAGTCCGAATATCAAGACCCTGAACATACGCTGCACCAGAGCTTGGCTTTATGAGACCAATCATCTGTCAACAAAGATATATTAACCTATTTGGAGAGCAGCAGACCTTTTAATCTACTATTGCAATTGAATAAACCAAAACTCAAAAGATTATTTCCGTTATAGAAAAATGAAATAGATTTGGAATAAATCCTAGTTGAATATTATATAGAAGCATATATAAAACAAGAGCTAAGGAGGAGACCAATCGAGATACCACATCTTTTATGTATATAATTAGAACCTATACATATATAAATCTCTTTGAAAACATTTGATGATTGAACAAATAAGAAGTAAAAAAACAAGGAAATGGGAAGTGTAGCTATTGAAAGAGCCAAGGCCATTTTACACTAACCATATTGATAAAAGAAGTTTTCCCTGCACCATTGGGACCAAGCATACCAAAGCACTCCCCATGAGGCAAAGCAAGTGACAACCCTCTCACAGCAAATTTCTCGGGGTTTCCGTCCCTTCCGGGGTAGACCTTTTTGAGGTTATCAGAAACAATCGCATGACTGATGCTCGGTTCAAGTAGCAACTGTTCAACTTTCTCCCTCTGGAAAAAGGCACATTGAAATGAGAGGTGGAACTCATCCAAAATTTAAGATTTCCAGGTAGGAGGTACACTGATCAAGATTTGATCATGTTATGCATTTATAATGATAGTGAGAAGAAGACAATGCATGGTCTACACACACTCTATCCTCCAGCATCCTAAACTAGATGACATATTAAGACATGCAAGGATCATCTTAAGTGTTACCTAAAAATCTGCAGTTCAATGAACAAATGTTATAGAAACCATCCTCTCAATCACACTGCTCAAGATGGTCATGTAGAGAGGTGCAGAAAAAATGAAGATATAAATTACTGATGACATTGCTTTGATGAAGATCACTCTGTTTAATGTTCTAAAATAAGACAGCTCCAAGTTATGAAGAGCAATAGATAAACCCTCTGCAGTTGCACCAGATAGACCATCTTTTTCCATGGTTAACCAGCTTTAAATACTATCCTATGAGTATTCATCATTCCACTTCAAAAGGCTATTTCTAAATTAAAAAGTGCATTCCCCAGTGTATGACCCACCCTCCACCAGGTGCTAGGAGGAGAAATTTGGAGACAGACCTAATCTTTGACATTAATCTTCCAAAGTGATTTCTCTGAGACTCAAACCTAGACACTTGTTAGACCTAACCTATTGCCAGACTAACAATTAGAATATAATAGTAAGGATGAAAGAGCTACCTCTTGGGCAACATCAGGTTTCTCCATCTCAACGAAAACTTTAGATCCTTGACTTTGCAAGCTAGGTCGACTGAAAGACGACAAGGGCTTCTTTCGGAAGTTCTTCAACAAAAATAGAGGATTTCTTCTTACACCACTTCCTGATGATACAACTTGATCTAGATAATATGCAACAAAAAGAACCACCAACCATTCCACAAACATGATAATAAAGATCTCTCTCATCCCATTGTTGCCATCACTTAAGTTCCCCCATCGCATGCCATCAGTCCCCATATAGTTTCCCGAGAAGGAATATGTTGCAAACTCATATAAACCACGATACAGAGAAAAGCCCGGATATAATTCCATGACAATAATCCAGCCTCCTGAAACATCGAAAGATCAATTTTACAACAATTAGAGTTTAAAAAGTAAAAATGCAAAGTCGAGAGCAAAGCATAGAAGAAAATCTTAGGTACCATGTAAGGTCTGCAAACCAGCACCACAACAGTTAACATGATTATAAATAGCGTGTATCTCAATTCCAATTAAAGCAAAAAATGCAACCCAAGCAGATGATCATGGTTAACCACTCCCTCAAATACGTACACTATTGAACACCAGTGTAACAATGCATATAACATCGCTATGGTGTGTCATAATACCTTTCAAGCCATAACTGGTAAGTTATCAATAAGCATTAATGATTTAAAGCATTACATTTTTGAAAAAAGAAAAATGACAAAGTTCCATTTGCTGTTGTGGAAACAGAAAGCACTTCTTTCTTTTAGGTTAGCAGGGGCTGGAAAGGGTACCAGGAGATAATACAAGTGGCTTCAAGCCTTACAAATAAGCTGATGCATTCAATTTTCTTTCCACTAATAAAAAATGGTGGAAATTGCTTTATTTTCTCAAGATCAATACAGAATTGATAAATTTACCCCAAAAAAATACCAAAATTGATAAGCTTTAAAAACAATCTTTAATAGGACAAATTAAAACAGCATGGACCTAAAATTAACATGTTTAAATGGGTAGCAAGCCATCTGCAATACTAAATTTGCAAAACCCAGTCAACAAGAACTACAACATCTTTTTTATATCTCTTATACTTACTTGGGAATGATGTATCTTGAAGAAAAAACTGGAAAAGAAAGCCTCCTAAGAGCCCAGATCCAAACACTATTATGTATCCCATAACTGTGATCATCAACAATGAACCCTTGTTATTCAACTATCCTCAAGTAAAAATAATCAGTGTACTCTATGCTATCAATTACATCAATTTTCTGAGATCAAACCTGCGGCAGTCTTCACTTTTGAGAAAATTGTAGCCACCAGAAAGGCCAGTGAAATTTGCAAGTTTATGTAGATGAAATAAAACACAAACTGGATGCTGTACTCATTCATTGTGAAGAATTTTAACCCTGAAAGGAAGTAGCATTAAAGCAACTCCTATAAAAGTCAAAAGAAATTTTTTAAAAAAATTCATTGGCTGTGTTATTACCTATAGCTGAGCCAAATATCACAAAACATAACATATATATCAAAGATATGACAAGAAAATAAGTATAAGAAATCATCCAATAAGGGCCATCACCAAGCCCATGCATTTTCATCATGATTCTGAGATTCTGTTCCTTCTCGTAAACCAGAGATGTTAATACGACCTACATCAAAAAGCAAAATGATTGAAGAATATATATTTGAAGCAAGCAAATAACATAAAATCATTTTCATAAGAGCTGCCAAGAAAAATATTTTCACAAAGAATGAAACACCAGGTATCAGATGTGACGATGGAGCATCCCTTGCTAAAATTCAATCAACCCAGAGTTAATTACCTATGTTCTTCAGAAAATGCAGGATGCCATTTTGGCATAATTTGATGGTCATCCTGAACTCAACTGTGAAGGAAATGATCCATGCATGGTTGGAAAGCCCTACGAATCTACTTTCTAATAGAAAAAACGATGACCAATTCAGACTTCCTAGAGTGAGTTATGACCATTTCAGTAACAAGTATTTTTGTTGACTGAGAAATCTGCAGTTGGAAATAAAGTTCGACTCCTCTTGGGTGCAAACAAATCCTTGAGAGAGAGAGAGAGAGAGAGGGGGGGGGGGGGGAATGTATCATCTGGGAAAAAAAATCTGCAGTTGAAAATATAATGCGCCTACCTGCAGCAGCTCACTTCTCTTCTCAGTTCCAGCACCTTTTGGTTTTCAAGTTTATTGTTATGATTTTTAAGATCTCTTTTGATGTATCAAAAAAAAAAAGTCTTGACGACCTTAGTTCAGCATATTTAGTTTTGAGTCAAATTAGTCTTGCATCTTTTTTTGCTTGGTACTTGTGTTGTTTGTCTTGAAAAGTGTAATTGGCTATTAAAATCTAGGGTTAAAATCACAAAACTCCCCTCTACTTCTAAAATTGTTCATAAAACCCCAACAAAATCAAATAGGTCCCTGAACGACGATTTGTTCCTTTATTTTCAATTCTTGGTAATCTGAGATGTGATTTCAATTTGAGATCACGTCCATTTGTTCCTTTATTTTCAATTTTTTGTAATCTGAGATATTTCTTTCTTTAATTTCAATTTTTAGCAATCTGAGATCACGATCACGTCTCTCTCTCTCTCTCTCTATATATATATATCAATAATAAGATTTTTCTCTCTCCCACTGATTTGCCCATTGACTTTATATATTTGCATATGCTTAATTGATGCCGGCGGCAGTTGGGGGCTTGGGTTCAATGCTGATTGACTACATTATCTTTCGTCGATGCCGACGGCTAGGGTTCCCTGCTAATTAAAGCTTTGTTCTGGGTCTTCGTCCTCCACTGCTTCGTCGATGCCGGCAGCGGTTGGGGACTTGGGTTCTCTGTCGATTGAGTACACTCTCTCGTTGATGCCGGCGGTGGTTGGGTTCTCTACTGATTGAAGCTCTATTTTGGGTCTTCATCCTCTACTATTTCGTCGACACTGGCGGCGGTTGGGGGCAGGCGGCGGTTGTGCGAAGGTGGTTTGGGACTCCTTGAACTCGATGTCGCAAAAGAAAAGTTTGGATTCAGATGGGGTGTCTTTGTTGTTGGAGATGAAGCGGCTGAGGAGTTGGCCGTTGAAGTGGATGAATGGATGATACTCGATTCAGATTGGTATTGGAGGTTGAGGAGCTCGGTGACTTCGTCTGAGTCCGACTCGGAGGTAGTGGTGTTGAAGAGAGTGATGAGAGTTATGAGGAGGAAGAGGAGGTGGGCCAACAACGATCTTGCGGTTGCAGAGATCGTCATTTGGTGGTGGTGGGTGGTGGTGGAGTCCATTGTTGCTTCTGCTACTGATTGTGACTGGTCTGGTTGTAGAGAGAGGATTGGTGATGAGAGTTTGGGTGGTGTTGGTGGTGCAATCCATTGCTGCTCTGCTACAATGATGGGTCTGGTTTTAGAAAGAGAAAGGTGATAATTTGAAAGAGAGAGAGAGGGGCTGGTTTTAGAGAGAGAATTGGTGATGAGTTTGGGTGGTGTTGGTGCTGCAGTCCATTGCTGCTCTGCTACAATGATGGGTCTGGTTTTACAAAGAGAAAGGTGATAATTTGAGAGAGAGAGGGGGATGGTGAAGAGGAAGAAGACAAACTAAAGAGGGTTATTTTTGTAATTTTAAAATTATAATTTCAGTATTTTAATTTTAACATTAAATAGCAAGGTTACATTTGACATTTAACAACCCATTTAACGGCTTGGTTACGGGTTAGGGGTAATTTAATCAATTTTGTTAGTTCAGGGACCTATTTGATTCGAGTGGGGGTTTTGTGCACGATTTTGAAAGTAGAGGGAGGTTTTATGATTTTAACCCTAAAATCTATCTATGGCTGAAGGGTTGTTCCATGCCAACTCTATTTAAACCCTAATCATGTAGCAGAAATGCAACCTTTGATGAATTTAAATGATATTTGAGCCTTTGGCTTGTTAAGAAGTTCTTCTTTTCCTTACTCTCATCCCTTGGTTGGATTCCTTAGGGTGGGGAGTACCCTTACTCTTATCCCTTGGATGGGTTCCTTTTGGTGGTGAGCTATTCATCCCTTGAGTGCTCATTTGTGATACCTCCTATTTCACCATATTTTCGGCACCAAGATGCAATCATTCTCTTGGCTGTAAGATGTATACCATCTCTTGATTTACTAAAAGATACGCAAATTAAAAGACACATATTGTGGAGCAGAGATCCTTTTCCTCAAAAAAAGCACCAAAATAGTTACAAAGATTAGTTAACAACTAATCCAATTCCATCCATAACAACGGTAAGTATCAGGAGTTTGTTACAGAAAACCAACTAGTACACTTTAAACTTGGAGGACACCAAGCTGGAAACAAGAAACGTATTCAGACATTTGATCATTCAGTTCAAACTAAACATATAAAGCATCAGCCAATAAAAACTGATTTTTTAATTACTCCATATAAAAAAATCATGTGCATAACAAAGATGGACCAGTTTGTGACTATAATCATGTATATCTCCAATTTGTTGAACAATCATCACTTGATGCATTGAATTGTACTTTCATCATGTATAGGTTTTTTTTCCTTAACACTTTGAACTTATATGATATATATGCAAATAAAGCTCAACTATTTCTATCTTATCTTTCTTGTAAAACCTATTTAATATAATTCTAATGGGTTCTTTGTTTTGCATTGTCAAACATCTATAAAACTGAAGATCCAAGTCATGATGAACAGTCAACTAAAAACAATACCTCTATCTTATGAAATTCTTATATCTTAATATTAGAAATTCATCTATGTGTAAGTTGGTAGAAAGAAACACCTTCAACATGGTTCTTAATAAATAAACAACTATACAGGAAATAACGTTTAACATGCAATAATCTAAGTTCACTTACAGGGAACAGTTGTAGAATGACCCATGTAAAGAACAGCGGTCCGAGGAGAGAAGAAAAGTCCAACTTGAGTTGGGATTCACGTTTGGGCATTTCTTTCACAAAGTCAAATAGCATTTTTGTGGGAGACCCAAGCAAAAACTGGAGGTAGGCATTCGAGGCCTGTAAATGTACATGTAGTAAAAGTCAGCACTAACCATAGTTTATGATTTGATTCAGTAACATTTCATAGGTCGTTATTGGATGTGGTCAAGTGCATTAAAGACAAACATTCATAAAGCCAAGGAAGATGGAAATAAAATACAATTCAATTCACTACCCTCCAAGTGAAATTGCCAATGCACTTGCTAATAAAAAAAGTTTGAAATTGCCAATGCTGCAATTAAAGCACATCAAATGAAACCATTTCCTTTTAAGTAATTAAATCAACCAAGATGCGTCAGGTAAAATATTGACTTGTTAGAGGATCATCGAACACACAGATACACAACAAAAGGATCATATACACCCATTGGAATTTTTAATATTTTGGCAGCCAAAATGCAAAGTGGCAGCAACTTTAAAGGCTCATGTGTGGACCTTGGATCATGATGACAATAAAGCTACTTCTACTACTCTAGAAAGATAGCTTTCATTGTATACATTCATCCTTGTAGAGGATACAACTTGTACTCAAAACATATTTATCTTTGACATTGTTTTAAGAGAGTTGAGAACCCTTGAAGTCTAGGTGAGAGGTGCTCACTTAGCAACGGAGGAACAAGCTTGTGAAGCTTTGTAAGGGTTTGCTCTTCCCCGTGAAGGAGAGGTTGATAGTGGAGGTTTGGAAATCTTGAGATAGGTGCTCTCGAGTCGTGGTCGTAGGCTCCGAACCATGAAAAATCGCTTGTCCTAGTGTTTTCATTCTTCTATCCCATGAAAAGACAAACAACCCCCAAACCAACCCCCCCCCCCCCCCCCCCCCCCCCCCCCCTCTCTCTCTCTCTCTCTCTCTCTCTCCCTTTCCTCTCTCTCTCCTCAAGTCATTGTTTGCACAACAAGCTCTATAACAAGGTAAGGGCCCAACTTACGGTAGCACCAAAATGAGTTCCACAGCTGGATATATGCAAGGACACATAACGCTAAAGGAGTTGTTTCTCACAAACAAGTGATTAAATAAGTGATACATGTCATAGTTCCGTTATTAAAACAGCACATAAACTTTTAAGAGAATAAGAAATCAAACAAAGTGAACCTATGTCCCCACCTGTGGTTGACCAACATATGGAGAGCCATGATTGGCTTTAAAAGACTTACTTCCATTCTAAAATGCTCTCTCACGAGAAGAGGGAGTCTCCAACATAGGACAACTTGATAGCCCCATGCAGAGATTACATGGGGTCCAAAAATTGAAGAGGTATACAGGAAAATTTAAGATGTCTTTTGATGCCCTGGACATGATGAACTTCATTCAGGAAGGGTACAAATGAAAGAAGTAGCAAATGATTTTCCTTTACTCATCATGCAAATGATTATTTATTCCCTTTTGAAAATCATGTTATATGAGTTAGGATGACATCTTTGATGTTGTAAACCTTGAGACCTTATATCAAATGAAGTTTTATTAACTAATTTATTCTTTTCTACAGTTCAGTTTATCAACTACATCCTTTTAGAATAAATGTAGCTAAACCTTGCTTAATAGTCTGATTTCAATCAACAAAAATTTGAAGTTCCTCATTTCAAATCATTAAAGATACACGTATATTGACACAGGACATTGAAAAGGTAACAATTTAGAACAAATCACTCCATAATACTTGAGATGTGTATCATATAAACTTTTGACAATTTTAAGTTATCTTTTTACATTTTACTTTGGAAGTTAAAATGTAGGGGATTGAGAGTGCAACAACTAGGGTACTATACTAAAGTGATGACTGAAGGTGCCTAGTTTACAGTGGTCTAAACTTACACCAAAATTTTGCCTCTGTAGTGGCACTTGGTTACACCAAGTCTCAGCCAATCTCACATTGTTGCACACGTTCAATGGACAAAGGCACACTTGATAAAGGAACAAGGGTTCCAAATCTTTACTTCTCTCACAAAAAAGAAAAGGTCAAGGTTGACATTTGTAAGCAAAATCACAACCGAGACTCTATTTTAAACAAAGACCCAGTAATGCCGATTTATATGCTACAACTTAAAAAGCTGACAACTGTATTGTTTGTGCCTTGGAAAGACATGGCATGGAAGTTAACACCCTTAAGAATCCTAGGGTGAGGACCACTAACAAGAAGCTAATAATCGCTGGATTTGATATCCCCAACTGCAGGGTGGTGCAGGCACAGAAATCACTCACCAGAATGTTTGTAATTAATTTTGGAAGTTAAAATGTTGGGGATTGAGAGTGCAACAACTAGGGTACTATCCTAGAGTGATGACTGAAGGTGCCTAATTTACAGTGGTCTAAACTTACACCAAAATTTTGCCTCTGTAGTGGCACTTGGTTACACCAAGTCTCAGCCAATCTCACATTGTTGCACACATTCAATGGACAAAGGCACACTTGATAAAAGAACAAGGGTTCCAAATCTTTACTTCTCTCACAAAAAAGAAAAGGTCAAGGTTGACATTTGTAAGCAAAATCACAATCGAAACTCTACGTTAAACAAAGACCCAGCAATGCCGATTTATATGCTACAACTAAAAAAGCCGACAACTGTATTGTTTGTGCCTTGGAAAGACATGGCATGGAAGTTAACACCCTTAAGAGTCCTAGGGTTAGGACTACTAACAAGAAGCTAATAATCGCTGGATTTGATATCCCCAACTGCAGGGTGGTGCAGGCACAGAAATCACTCACCAGAATGTTTGTAATTAATTTTTCTACCTATTAGGACTCAGGACATGCCACCGCTCAGCATCCGCCACAAGGGTCTTTAGGAAGTTCAAATAGCAATTACCATGTCTTCTTATCATGCACGGTTAGTCAACCCCTACCATATAAGTAAGATGGTCGCCTCTTGTTTGCTCCTAGAAACATCTATCAGATCCTTACCATGCTATATCCTTGGAGATGGACCAATTAGATATTAGGAACCACACATCTTGTGCCAACCGTCAAGCCATCACCAGCCCATGGATTGATTGACCCTTTGAAGGATAGGATGCCACGCCCCCGAATGCCATACACTACCAACTGCATGTACCCAACATGTACTGCCACCCTCAACCCACGGTTGAGACTTGCCTTGGAACCACAATTCTCATCCATAAATTATCTTGCTACTAGTGCCGGGAACATATCCAAGAAAAATTAGCACCATCAAAACCCATGTGTGTGAAGTGTCCCATGCCTAACCCTAGCTTGGGCTAAGTACCCATGTGTCCTGCCCCACTCACCACAAATGCTGCTAATCATCTTTAACTACTATGAATGATCCTTGCCATGCCACGTGTCTTTAGAGGGACCAATCATACAGCCACAAACCTAGTGCGTTGGAGCATAGTCCCTGCAGCGCCCACAAGTGTCACACATTACAAATTAATGCACCCAACATGCACTACTCAGCTATGGTTGTGGCCTGCCTTAGAACCCAAAAATATTCAGTCTTGAATCCTCTGCCCATCAATACCACTAACGTGCTCAATGCCATTTAGCACCACCAAGGGTCTATTTTTCTAGGCATGCCATGCCCACCCCCACTGTTTGGGGAAAGCATCCATGTCTGCTACCCACCCTTGGAGCTAATCGGGAAGGAACCTATGCAAAATGGGTAATTGCTCTTATACCAATTGATGCAGAACCTCAAACAACCCTGAATTAATTAGTTGTAGAAGAAAAATTCAGGGGATAAGAAGGCAGAAGATAGATGGGGTTAGAAAAAAGAGGGGAAGAAAACAGACAAGGAGAATGAGAAAGCAAGAACAATGGAAGAAGAAGAACGCAGAAGAGAGAATTTTGAAACCACGATAATAATTTAATAATCAAAAGTTGCTTAGTTCTGTTATATACAGCCTTTTATAGGCAAAACCTAAATAAGAAACCCAAAAATCTAAAAAAACTAAAGAAAATAAAATTACCAAATAAATAAAAACTCTAAAATATGAAAATAAACCCAACAGAATGTCCCTATGCCTACGCTCGAAACCCCTCACAATCTCATCAGAACCCAACCTCCTATATAGCGAAATGAGCAGTAAACAATAGGATAAGAGGAGACATCCCTACGATGAGGTGTTATATTTCATATTTACAATTTTTGCTACTGATCCAGAGTTACACTTATTCATAGAACTTCCTTTGTCCTAGCTGTCATACTGGATTTTCATTTTTTTATCTTTTTTTTTTTAACAATGGATTGTCTATTGAGTAGCCCAAGCTAACATAAATCAATGGCTGATTGCCATCAGATTGGGTATGCCTTACCAACATGGTATGAAGGTAGGAAGGCACAAATTCCACGCTCATTTGGGAGTTAAGGGAAAGCCCGCATCCCCTTATTTATGCAAAATAAGAAATTATAGGTTTGAAAGAGGAGACATGACCAATATTTTAAGGAATTATAATGGATCTACTATTCTACTTCATTTGAGACTCAACCAAATATAAACTGTTCTTTTACAATGGCCTTCTTATGATGTCGCCTTGCTATCATATCAATATCATGCTAATGGCTTGCCTCCATCACTTACTTCTACAAACTTATGAAAATGCCACTGGGACACCAAGTTTGAGGGTCTTGGTTGTCTAAGACATGGCATGCTTTCCATGACCTGCGATATAATTCAATATCATGAATTATTCTCTGGTTTCCATCACTTGCGATATATGTTCTATTTTTTCTACTAATTAAATGAATATGTCATACCCTAAACTAGTACTTGTTGGGCCGTTGTATTCACGTCTCCTAAACATCCTTTCATGTCAACATATTATTATAATAAAAAGTCCAAAGTTTCCACTAGTCAAGCCATACAAAACCAGAAGATTACAAAGTTCAGGATAGATACCAAATTCAATGAACGAGGAACCCGCATCAACGCAAGAGGACCATTGCCCGTGTCATTCTTGTAGGTAGAGTTGTACCATATACTCACATTAAAATTATTCCTGTTTGAGTTTAAGAAATCATAGGCTGTGAAAAAATCAAACCATAAGTTAGGCCATTCACATAATTCAATTTTTTATCACATGTAACAAATCAAAAAGCATCTAGTAGACCAACCTGCTATCATCTCATTAATCTTCTCCTCTGAATTCCCCTTTCGGTAGCCCTTATATAGCTCGTCATTGATCTCAGAAGAACTGTTGCGCCACAAAGGTAAACCCTGAACACAGCTTACCTCTAAATTTAAGACAAAACAGTAATATAAATAAAGATTAAGAATATTCCCAAAAACAACACCATACTGTGTACATGAGAGAGAGAGAGAGAGAGAGAGAGAGATGTTGCCAGCTTGACAAAATCTTACCAGGAATGCAATAGGAAACATAACCAGAAATGGAGTAAATTATCAAATATCAATTGAGTCCCTATCGATGGGCCTCCAATTTTATTGAGAGAGAGAGATGTTGCCAGCTTGACAAAATCGAAACATAACCAGAAATGGAGTAAATTATCAAATATCAATTGAGTCCCTATCGATGAGCCTCCAATTTTATTGAAAATCTTAAGTTAGAGACTTCTCCAGAGGTTAATTGCTCACAGAAAATAATTTTAAGAATCATCGTAGGATGATAGTACTTCGCAAGGTTTGACCAAAAACAAGTTTGAAGATAAATACCACGAATGGATAGCTTCCCTTATTAGATATATACAACAGTCCAGTTCTAATCCTACTTTATCTATCATTAATGCATCATAGTGGCTGTAACATACTAAATCTATGTCTTGCACCCATGTCCATGCAGCACAGCTGTGACCGCAAATTTCACAGAAAAAATAAAAATCTAAGCAGTAGTCATGGAAAAATCATTACCCTGTGGCACTGCAGTGGATCCTATCTGGATAGAAACGGAAAACGTGGAGTTTGGACGGCACTGCGGTTGAACATGATAGAGTGGAGTATTTGAAAAGAAAGCTGGATCAAGAAAATTAGAATATGCAGTCTCTGCCGCTGACCCCTGAAACAATTCAAATAATCCCATTAAGCAAAACATATAGAAAAACCAATAAATGATAAGCAGGATAAAAATAAATATTGCTATCACTCTAGAAGTGAAAATTTAATAAGAACAGGAACATAAAAAAGATAATGGACTACTTACAAAGACATTATTGGCTAAAGTATCCAAAATCTCAGAGGAATTCAGAGTAAAAGTGCTTGGGAACATAATTCCAGCCAAACCTATCAAGATTTAGGATCAATGTAAAACACATGTAAACCTTGAGTATTCCCAACACATTAGTACACCAATTAAACTTCCAAAGAATTTTTAAAAAAAATTAAAAAAACCTCAAACGGCGGGTGTGGTTTATGTGTGTGTGAGAGAGAGAGAGTGAGAGAACGAGAGAGAGAGAGAGGTATACTTTGTCCTAGAGATTGATTATTCCCTGTAAGAAGTATACTTGCAGGACAAGACCCTGTACTCTTGCATGACTCATCTGGCAAGTCTGTAAATGGAACAAAATGAGTTCTCACTGCACGATACTGAGGAGCTGGAATTTGTAACAAGGGTGGCCATTCTGGAGGGCTAGGAATAGGACAGCTGTCTACTTGGTCCAAAGTAGAGTATTCAATCCCACAGACTCTTTCACATTGACCATCCCCATTTTTATCAACACAGGTGCAGCCACACCTGTTTTTGGGTTTATCCAATTCATGGTTGATCAAAGTCTGGATTAGAACAAGCAATAAACACAGTATGAAAGGGAACAAAATGAGCCGAACATTTGTCCTGATATTCCGTTTCTGCAACGAGAGATAAAATGGATAATCATTGTGAGACAATGAGAGTAGAATAACCATTAAAACTAGCATTAGATAAATCAACAAAATAATTTTGAATCTCACTAACTTTCAGTTTCAGAACCAGAAATAAAAATAATTAGCTCCCTCCCTATCAACAATCATCGGTTTTTCATTGGAACAGAAGTTACTTTTCCATCAAGCCCGAACGTTTTCAAAACTTAGGGAAAAAAAATAGTTCAGTTTCAATGATCAGGCAAATGCCAATTACAAGGTAAGAAATCAATAAACAACAAACTAATTTATTTTTAAAAAGAAAAGGTAATATCTCCAGATATTAAAAAATCTCAATCTAAAAATGTCATTTCTTAATTTGCCACCTAATTGTAGTATGTGTGCTCAGAATTTGTTAAATAACTAAACCAATTTGCAGCAAAAGAATATATATATACACAATATAAACAATAAATTGTTAAGCCACAATGAAAGTAGTCAAATGAAGCTGTACAATTAACAATTAACTACATCTGAAAACAAGCTTATGCACATAAGCCCACGAAGACAGGAGCACTTCAGGATCACTCAATCAAACCAAAAATGGATCTATATAATACTTAATAATTCAAATATTATAAACATCTTATGTCCCACTATGATAATTCGATAATCAAATGATGAAGGAAAACTCATATAGCAAAACAATCCAAAAATTGAAGGAAAAAAAAAAAAAAACCCTTACTCAAGAAGAAACAACAAAGAACTGAATTGACACTACAATCTTTGAATTCACCCCACATAGACACGAGAAATTTCAGGATCACTCAATCAAACCAAAAATAGATCTTTATAATACTTAACAATTAAATAAATCCTATTTCCCACCGTGATAACCCATTAACCCAATAATCAAATGATAAGGTAAACCCATAAACCAAAACAACCCAAAAATTGAAGACGGCAAAAAAGGAAAAGAAAACCTTAATTGCCACTACAATATTTGAATTCGCCCTAAAAATAAAAACCCAGAAAACACGCGCACACACAGAGAGACACATACCTGGAAAGTGATGTTTTTTCTAAGCAAAGCGTTGGCCTGAGTCCAGAAGCTCGAAGGACCATGTGATGAATCCGCCATGGACAGCCCTACTCTCTCTCTCTCTCTCTCTCTCTCTCTCTCTCTCTAAACAGGAAATAGGACCGTTGAAATCAAAATTCCCGCGTAGCAAATGCTTGTGTCCGTTTTGTTCTCTATGTGGATTCAGAACTCCAAAATGAGCTACCCTTTTAACACCACCATCGTCGTTATGTCCACTGAGTCTGGTCAAATTGACCAAACTGTCCTTTCGTCTTCTTTTCCTTATTGTTATGTTACATCTCGAAATTACCCTTGCTTAAATGACTATAATGCCCTTCACCATATAGTTTTTGTCTTTATTGACCGTCTTAAAATGTCATAAATACCTATATGAATACTGTATATACTATTCACAATTTCATTGGCATTAAATATACAATTTATATCAAATATTAAGGTCATGTAACTGAAGTTGGAACCTAATTGTGAATGCATATATAATTGCATATAAATAAGTTACACTCGATCCATCTAATTATGGAAATGATTAATTATATAAGTTAGTATTTGATAGAGTAAATTACACCGACCTCCTCTAAAGTTTGATAAAATTACATACGGACAGATAGCTTAACCTAACTTATTCGTCGGGACCATAAAGTGACTTCGATTCTGAAAAGTCAGTAATGTTCTTGTATTATAATAATATATTATATTATATTTTATATTAATTGAAAGGGCAAAATTGTTAGTTTATAAAATATGGTCAACAGTTATGTTGGAAAGTAAACGTTGGGGGTGTCACATTCGTTGAATCTCAGTGTAAATCAAAGTAATAAGCGATAAACGGTTTACGATGAGTAATTTGCTCAAATCTCATAGGAGGTCAGTGTAATTTAAAAATCTTTCAATTAAATCAAATATTATTAAAATAAAAAGGTTGGTGAAAATAGGGTTTCCATAGCCACTCCATCTTCAAAGCTACACTTCCGGTCAATAATTGAGAGTGAACAAGATAACGTATTCTATAATGTTGAGATTGATTAAACAAACAGTACTGTGGTCAACAAATATTAGATCATATATATATATATATAGTGAGTGGTTCAAAATCTAATAACTAGACAAGAATTTCCAAGAAAGACATCATAGAGCGACGTTGGTATTAGAAAATATCTTATAAAATCTATTGCCTGCATTTGATTTTAGATCATATATACATAATATGGTCAACACTCAATGTATTATATTAATGAGTTGGTATCTTCGAAATCTAACACACACAAAAGTTGCAAGAAAGATACCATATATATAGAGACAGTTTTTAGTGACTATGCTTCAAAATATTTTGATCATGACATTTAAAATAATAGAGATTAGTTGAATTTGAATCTATATGTGGTTTCGTGGAAGACATCTCGAAAACGTCCATAACCATTTAAATTATACAAGAAAGAATAACAATGAAATATTTTAAAAATCACTTTGGTTTGAATATCACTATCTCAATATTATATATATATATATATAGTTAAAACAATTAATGGCATGTTTGGGACGCTTTTTGTTTTTGGCGTTTTGTTTTAAAACAAAACAAAATAATTGTTTTGTTGCATAGTATTTTGAAGAGTAATCAGAAGCATGTTTGGTAACGTCTATCTATTGCAAGATTTTTTAAAGCAAAAGTACGAAAACATATTTGGTAAAAAAAATGTTGCAAGTTTGAAATATATAATGGTTAGTTCATTTAAGAATTTTTTAAATTGTGAGTCACGGTTCCTCAAACAGGACTTTTAATTTGGGACAGAGGGACTACTATTTATCGCTATGGTACCAAATGTTACGGTGTGAAAACATACCAAAATACCAAATTGGTGTTTCAATTTTTTACCACTATTTACCAAACGTTTCAGTAGTAAAATAAAACAGTTTTTACCAAATGCTATTTTTTCACTGCATGTTCTCTACTAGCATTGGATAAAAATAAAACGTGTACCAAATACAGTCTAGGAGTTGAGAAAGGTGAAGTGAAAAAACAACAATAAATTAAATCAGTAGTATTGAACAAAAGTCGTAGCAATAAACAAGGTACTATGCATGACATATAACACACCTTTATTTTTTGTTCAAAAGTAGTTGGACTAAGTATTGCTTGTAGGAGAAGTATAAAAGTTGATCAAATATATATATATAATACACACACGCTCGATAAAACGATCCAATGGTACTGAAAATGCAAGTTCACTGAGAGCGTCCTCATCGATCATGCGATATGTTTTGACTATTATTATATGTCACCATCAGTTGTGCAACTCTCTTCCATTTATTAACACCATAAGATTTCATTGAAAATTAACCAAAAATCTCTTCCATTTATTAACACCATAAGATTTCATTGAAAATTAACCAAAAAGTCAAAGTCCGCTTGGAGTTGTGATGTGAGAGTGGAGTTCATATATGTATATAATTTACTTCTTTCGAGTTGTATAGCGTGAAATATATATACATACATACATATATATATATACTTCAAACATGCATGATATATACAACTTCCTGATGCAACTTCTAAGAATTGGCCACATGCATGGCTCAAAGACCTCCTTCTAACAATTGATGTATATAATTTGTATGATTACTTACTTAATAAGTAAGATAGAACATATATATCTAAAAAAAAATAATTTAATTAAGGTGAAAATGCTAGGAAGTTCATTCTCTACATATATATATATGTATGAGTATTCTCGACTGTTATCAAAATCTGACTATTCAAACTCGATCTGGGGTTGTTTGTAATTGTGGAACTTTCAGCTTAGACAATTGAATTATAAATTGGAATAGTAGTACTCATTGTTTCTCATTATTTAGTACACTATCCAGCTTGAGTTTGAATTTATCTTGAGCAGAGTCACTTTTGTATAATAATGCCAAGTGTATAATTTATATCCAATTCACAATTCCTATATATCATCCTTCAAATATATATATATATATATATATATATATATATATATATATATGTTACTATAGTAATTAAGTTCATTTTTTTTTTTTTACTTTTTCATTTTTTTTAAAAAAGAGAAAAAGAAAAGATAGTTGATTGGGCCGGGTATAACTAAATCAAGACCCTTAAGATAGTAAATTAACCTAATGCATGGTCGTCCGAGCACCCTAATGAGTAGCCTGATATTGATAACAAACACACGGTCATATTTGAATGATAAATGATTTAAAAGTCAAAGACCCCGACCTATTTGTGAATCCGAAGCTATCAAATCTTTGATGGCCTGAAGTGGGACCTTTAATAATTTCGGCTCAACAAATTGGCTAATGTCTTCGGCCTCGATATTATCTCTTTTTAAATATAAAAATTCGATTTCAAACTATATTTAACTTTGAAAAAATTAATGTTTTTAAACCATCCTTTTCATAATCAAAATTGAATGATGAACTCCAAAACTTGTTTGCATGTATAATGAATAGAATCGTTTCATTCAGGCATTTATAAATGTGCACGTGTTGATTTAATCAACCGCAACTCCCTATAGTTGAATATATATATATATATACACACACGAAAGTTTTTAAGAGTGAAAGACAATAAATTAAGATGGATTTGGTACTATGCATCTCTACCAACTTTCTGTACGTTGTTATCTTTGAATTCTTTTCTTTTATAACGACAAATAGTACTGTGGACCACAAATATTAGATCATATATATATTATATATATGTATGTATGTATGCGTGTGTAAGTATATTGTGTGGTTCAAAATCTAATAACTAAACAAGAATTTCTAAGAAAAACATCATATAGCGATTAGCGACGTTGGTATTAGAAAATATCTTATGAGATCTATTGCCTGTATTTTAATTTTAGATCATATATATAATATGGTCCACACTCAACCTATTATATTAATGAGTTGGTTTCTTCAAAATCTAACACAAAAAGTTTCAAGAAAGACACCGTATATATAGAGACAGTTTAGTGACTATGCTTCAAAATATTTTGATCATAACATGTAAAATAATAGAGATTAGTTGAATTTCAATCTATATGTGGTTTCTTGGAAGACAACTCGAAAACATCCTTAGCCATTTAATTATACAAGAAAGAATAAGAATGATATATTTAAAAAATCAATTTGGTTTGAATTTCACTATCTCAATACGTTATATATTTAAAACAATTAGCGGCCTATTTGGAACTCGTTTTGTTTTTGGTGTTTTGTTTTAATGCAAAACTATTTTGTTGTAAAGTGTTTTGAACAGTAATCGGAAGCATGTTTGGTAACGTCCATCTGTGGTAAGATTTTTTAAAGCAAAAACATTAAAATATATTTAGTAAAAAAATGTTGTAAGTTTGAAAAATATAATGGTTAGTTTAAAAATCGATACAGCACCAAACGCTATAGCACGAAAATATATCAAAACATCAAATTGGTGTTTCAATTTTTGACCACTATTCACAAAACGTTTCGACATTATACAAAACAAAACAGTTTTTAACAAACACATTTTCATAATTCACTGTTACAATACAAAAACAAAAATATTAAAAACAAAACGCTTACTGACCAAATCCTAAGAGTTAAGACAGGTGAAGTGAAAAATAACAATAAAATTCATATTGTATTGAACCGAAGTCGTAGCAAAAAACAAGGTACTTCCTTTAACCGAAAAAAAAAAAAAAAAAACAAGGTACTATGCATGACATATAATACACCTTTATTTTTTGCTGAGAGACTAAGTATTGCTTGTAGATAGGGATGGCAATTTGACCCGCCCCCGCGGTTACCTGCCCCACCTCGCACCGTTTTTGACGGTTTTGGGGGACCGTTTTACTTATTTAGGCGAAGATGATTTGATGTAATAAAAATCCGCACGGGTTTGGTGCGAGGGCAGGGGGAGATCGCCCCGCCCCGTTTAGTTAGGCAAATTACTTAAGTACCCATATTTCATTAGTATATATATTTCCCACTATATATTTAGTACCCTATATAACAATATTAAAGTAAAAAATGAATTTGATTAAAAAGAAATTTGCAATAGTGAAAAATTAAAGATGAGGGGGAAAAAAAAAAAAAAAGCAAATCTATTTCAACAATAAATAAATTATGATCTTAAACAGGGCGGGGCGGGTACCCATTGGGGTAAAAATATTAAACGGTTACCGG